CTAGAATTAGGCACGGACACGTAGCGGTTGATTAAAGATTATTTTACTTACACCGAAGATGGTCGTGGTGCAGGCAGGAAAACTTGCTTGAGTTGCAGTTACAAAACAAAACAAAACTCGAACCTGCAGGGCACGAGAGTACGTCGCAGGGGGTTTTTGGCGACGGGAAGATGCAAAACGCGAGAGTACGTCGCAATGGGTTTTTGGCGATGGGAAGATAAACCTGCAGGACTCGAACCCGGGTAGAGCTCTGGATACACTCACACGAAGTTTGCTAGGCTCCGTGGAACTTGCGCGCAGGGAAGGTGTTCGTCGAGGGATCGTTTGGCGACAGGGAGAGGCCAGAGGTTGATCAGACCCCTATAGCCTGCGCTGGGTTCGATAGGCTCCGCAGCGCTTAGAGATCTTCACAAGACGTGAAGTCCTCCTCCTCCAGATGGTTGTGGAGTCCTCCCTTGCGGGGTTCTCCTCGGAGTTCTCCAACTTGGGCGGAAACCACTCAAGCTCTTATACGGCTAGCAAACCAATCACTAGCCGCCACGTGGGAATAATTGCGAACTGGCCAATAGTGGGACACAAATTTGCATGCGAATGGCGGGAACTCCTTTGCACCATGCATTTCTCTTTGCAACTAAGAAATGCACCCTGCAAAGAAAGCTCCTAGTGGCGGGAAATATTTTAGCAGTGCCGAAGCGCGCACAAACAAAATCACACCCTTGGGTTGTGACACCATGTACCCCTTCAGATATGTCTTGCCTATCCTCAAAGGGAATTGTCTCCCTTTTCAAATACTTCATTCTAGATTGTTTGGAAAAAAACATTATCAGATCAAAAACAATTTGCACTGTTGCTCCTACTGATGACTTGACCTAACTGAGCAAACTTTTGTCACTTTGTGGCCTTGAACAGACCTCCAGGGATGTAATACTTGAATGCCTGTCTAGACCTGGGGTGGGCAATTATTTCGGGTGGAGGGCCGCCTACTGAGTTTTCTCAAGCCATCGGGGGCTGCATGACAGACAGCCAGGGCAGATAAATATTTATTTTCTAAATTTTTTAGGGGCCCCGTGTGCCGGATAGAATGGCCTGGTGGGCTGCATCTGGCTGCGGGCCGTATTTTGCCCACCCCTGGTCTAGGCTGTAACGAAGGAAAGCCTCAAGTTATGAGTGAGCTATTGAGGGAAACCTGCAGCTGGAAGGATTAGTAGCTGGAAGGGAAGCTGCATAATCTGTTATAACTGAAGCAACAAGCTCAGACAAATCTAAATAAAATAAATAGCCAACCAACTATAAATAAGTACTTTATCCCAAACATTATTTAGTATTTTTTGTTAAGCATATATTCTAAGGGATCAACACAAAATGCAGTAGAACACCAAACAACTGCTCCAAGTGGATCCGACCTCTAGGTGGTTACTGATAACCTCCAAAAATGGTCTCTCTGCCAATACTGCAGGAAAACCTGAAATTTTTGTATATTGATTCAGTATTGGCACACTGTACATGAAAATATATGAAAGGAATACCAAGCAATAACCATAAAAGGACTTATTTGTTTGTATTTATTTATCTGATAATACAGTATAATACAAAGGCCTTACCTTTTGAAGTACTTTGTTAACAAGGATGCTATATGACAAACTAAAATATGCTGGATTTTAATTCAGGATGGGTGTGATGGAGATGCGGTTACCGTTTAAAGTAGTCATTGATCAGTTTCTGCTAAATGTGTTGTCTCATCTTTTTGAGTGCACTGTTTTGCATTGCCATCCAAGTCAAAATGTCTTTTCTGCCAGTGCCTGCTTGCTCCTTTAAATACTTTACCGCCCTGTCAAAACTGCTTGTGTGTGTGAAATGTTATTGCTTGGTGCCACCTCTTCTTATTCACTGTTTTAACTTTTACTGCTTTCCACTTCATCACCAGTAGATTCTGCTATTTCCACATCACTTCATAGCTCGTATCCTGAATCTGCAATGTCAGCTTTAACAGGTTCAATTACATTTTCTTCACCAATACTTTCACATCCTGGCACTTTTCTAGTTTCTTTTAGGAATTGTTCACATTTAACCCTTCTTTCTGATCGACAGTTTGTTTTCTTTGGCCCTTATCAGACTCAGTGACGGATGCTTGCACTTTTTTGATGATCGTGTGACAGTGCGCAGCAACCTGCAGTTAACCGGACTTGGAGGTGATCGCATTCAGCCGCCTTCCCCGCCAGAGGCTGGGTTTTTAGGCAGAGCTGGAATGAAACAGGGCTGGAAATGTGGGGGGGAGGAGGTTTTAAAACTGCCTGTCTGAGTGGGGTGGCCGAGCGGGCATGGGTTTTAACGGCAGTTTCATCAGACCCAAGGGCGAGCAGAACTGCAGTGCCAAACCCAAGCACGAGGCCAAGCAGCCAAAGTCCAGAGAGGTTTTGAAACCGCCCGACTGAACACGTGGGGATCTGGGGGCTCGTCTTATTTTCCGCCTGTGAAGCCTCCGAGCTCCTACTCCCAGGCTCATCTGCTTGGCAGACGCAGGCATGAGAGAGATGGTGGGGAACAAGCCCCTGGTTTGAAAGGAAAGATCAGGGCTGAGAGCTGGCAGTGCAGCGGCACCCAGACATGCAGGGTCTGGCTCCCCGGGCGAGCTCCATCCCTGCCCCTGGCCGAGGCGGGAGGCCGCGGGGGCCTCCTGCCCGGCCTGGAGGCACAAGCCTTCGCCTCTGAACTTCCCTCCGTGCGTGCTGCTGCCCTGCGGTGCCACAGCCCCTCGGCTGCCATTTTATGTTTGCAGGGTTTGGTTGTAGCCGTGTCGGTAAGGACGCAGGCGGGCCAGGCTCTTGGGGTGGGTGCGATATCTTTGATTAGACCAACGGAGTCGTCAAAAGCTTGCAAAGATCTTTGTTCCCACGACTCCATTGGTCTCATGGAAGAGATCACACCCACCCCAACAGCCTGGCCATGTTAGGTGCGGGCACCAGACCGACATCTTGAATTCACTCCCCGCTGCAGGGAAACCAGTGCTCATGGAAAGTGTGCGGGGTGGGCAAAAAGCTCAGTGCCAGAAACAAACATGGCCGCTGAAGCTTAGGTCTGGCGCCAGACAAGTCCTTCCCGGCGGCTTCCGGGCGACGCTCTGGTGAGCTCTATGGTGCGGAGGCCGGAAGTGTGCTCGCTTCCCTCAGTGTAGCTGCGCGTGCAGCAGCGCCGGCAGGTACCACGGGCTGGGGCCGGGCGAGGGGCTCTTCGGGGCCGCCGGGGTCCAGGAGCGAGGAGGCTGCGTGCGGGTGCAGGCAGGGACGGCGCATCTCGCACTCGGTCTGTGGCCGGCTGCCCCCTTCCCGCTGCTGCTCGCTAGGGCGGGCCCCGGGGGGACTCGGGCAGCCTTTCCTTAGTGGTTTTCATCCCTGGGCCGCTGGGCTGTGTCTGAGGGGCCCGGGGGCAATCAGCAGCACGTGAATACCCGGCTGAAGGCTCGCAGGGGTCCGCGCCCCCCTTCGAAATGGTTAAATTGGGGGCCCGCACATGAAAACAGGTTGGAGAGCACTGGTCTAGCCGCACACGAGGCCTTGCAGAGCGGGGCGTGGAAATGGCAGGAAGGTGACATTTGCCCCCATGTGTGGTGCCTTGGATCCGTTTTGCTTCTTGCTCCATCTGAGCGGCAGGTGGCTTTCACCAGCTGCGCCCGTTCGCTGAGGTGTGGGGGGTGAAGGCCAGAGGGCTCGTGTGAGCTTTTATTACTGCTGTGATGTAATGTGGGCGCTGGTTGTGCTAACCGCTGTGCGAGCACGCCCCGCTCCAGGAGTGTGCAGCTGTAAGTGGCTGAGGAGAAACAGTTGTTTTCACCCTGCAGTGGCAGTTTCTGAATCCTGTGGGTTTCTGTCCCACTGCAGCTTCTCAGCCTCTTGAAGTCTCAGATCAAGCGTAGTGGCTTTTTAACCTGGCGGGGGAAATACCATATATCTGTGTCCAAGAAGGCAGTTTTCCTGAACGGCACCCCAGGAGAACAGCTCTTCTGGTGTGGTTCAGGCCCCCCCGAGGTGCATCAGCTTTAAGCCCAGTTTATGGAAATGGGAGTCTCCTCTTTTGTGTGCTCTGGGGGCCTTATGGCGAAGGGCAAGCAAAACTCGGGGGCATCCAAACCCCGATCCTTCAGGCTTGGGCCTGCAAGTAGGATGCCAGCCAAAGGATTTGGAAACATCTGAAGCCCCAGGTCGGGGTGGAGGATGTTTGCCAGTAGTAGGGCCACTTATGGTTCTGGACGGACTCTCAGCTTTGGCATTTGTTTTGGCTAATTTGGCTCGGAATACGGAAAATTAAAAAAAGTCCCACTGTAGCAAAGTTGGCCGCTCTGACCCCTATTTCAGCCTCTCACAGCCAGTTGCCACTGATTCCCCTTATTGACAGCAGTGTTGCAGAAGCAGTGGCAGTGACAAGTTGGGAGGCTGTTGCTGAGTGATGTTTTGCACACCCCTTTTCCTTTCTAGGGGCATGTTCCACACTTTGGGAAATGCTGCTCTCATGCATGTACTTTGGAAATCTGCGATCTGCATGATTATTTAAAAAAATCCAAACAAAACCTTGATAATAACTAATAACGCATTGGATTGGTGAACCTGGAATAATTTAATTGAAGATCCTGTTTGTTTATTTGCCCTTTGCTTTAGTGTTTCCCGCATCCTGCTTTTCATTTCCAAAAGCTTGGTTTAAGAAATGTTGCAGTGAGCTTTGGACATTTGGACTTAAATGCCTCATGGAGAGCTGCATTGACTTTCTTGGGGCTTTGGGCAGGTGCATGGATTTGCTTGTATGAAACTACTTCCAGACTTGGAGAGCCTTTGAAAGGCAGTGTAGTGATGTTCATCAGTTGAGAACAAGCAAGTGTTACCCTTGCCGTGCTGGGAGGCTAAAGGATGTCATGATGTGCGTGAACAGCTATTTCTTTCACTTTCAGATTCTCTTGCACGAGTGCTAGGACAGCGTTTTTCAGTCTGGGGGTTGTGACCCAAAAGTGGGGTGCAAGAATACATGAAAGGGTTGTGAACAAACTTTAAAAATGGATTCTACTTTAAAGGAAAAGAATGTGGGAAACTGTGACTTTTCCCTTGCAGACTGGCAGAGTTCCAGCCTGTAAGGGGCTGCTTGGGGCCCTCCTTGCCCTACACCCCTCCCACCCCACACACTGGGGCTGGGACCTGGGGGCAGAGGATCAGGAGTGAGGAGCACTGGGTCAGGACTGGCCATTGATGTTTACAAATGGGTCCTGGTACAAAAAGGGTTGAGAACCACTGTGCTAGGATATACTGGATTCAGACCCTTAAATGTTTTCCTTTGAATTTTAACCCAAAATGCTGATTATATTTCTGTTTAGTTTCATACACTCTAAATGTAGTTGCAGGGTAGTGCAGACACTGCTTTAGCTCTGTTCTTCATGTAGTGTCCAGGAGCAACAGGACAAGTGAAAAATGAAGATTTAACTGCTTTGTCCTTTTGGAACAGCTCTAACTGCTCTGCTTCATGCCTCTTTAAAGCACTTTTGAGGGCACTGAATGGCAGGAACAGCTTGTAGGGTAGGCTGATGACCTCCATTTAAAACTAAACTTCTGCTAAGGGAAGTTGATGCTTTATTAAAGATACCTAAGATCTGATGCTGAGAGGTACTCAGCAGCCCCAGCTTCCATGGAAGTTGTAGGTATTCAGAATTTCTAAGGATAAAAGGACCATACAGGACTTTTCAGTTCAGTGATCTGAGATCATTTTACAAATAGTAATTAAGCCTCACAACACACCTGTGAGGAAGGTCAGTCTTTTTGCAGCTGGACAAACTAAAAGTTTAAGTGACTTGCCCCCACTCTTAACAGTGACTGAGTGACAGTTAGAAAAGGGGTGTAGGAGTTGGAAAGCTTCCTGTGCTAAATGCTGGGTACATTACTTCCGCTAAACCTGCACAGTGCTATGCCTTCAGGTAGCCTCTTCTTTTTGGGAAAGGCAGGAAAGCAGGATGTCTTTCAGGCTATTTGAAATAGGAGTGTCTGGTTTATAAGCTGCTTGGTTTGCTTGCAACTGCTTTAATGCTTGAGGCTCCTGTGGGCTTGCTGCAGGTGTTGTGACATACACAGTGTTGGATAAGATTGTCATCCTATTTCCACCTTCTGCAGGGAATGGCCGTGTCTTTGCTATAATGAAAAACGTCCCTACCAGTTCCCCAGTAGAAGAAATGTTGCTACTCCATGCTGGCCAGATCAGTCCTGCCTTTAGATCAGGGGTCGGCAATGTCTTTGGCTGGAGCGCCAAAAATACCCCAATCCTGCCCCATGCCTTGACTTGATGTGCCAGGGGAGGTGCGAAAGGCCTGAGCCTTGTTGCTGGCGGCAGCTGCATACGTGTCTCTGGGCGGATGGCATGGGAAGGGCTGGGCTTGCGCTGCCTTGGTCCCTTCCCTGCCCTGAGCTGTGCGTGCAGTCAGTAGCTGTTGGCATGGGGCTGGAGCCGGTGCCAGTGCTCCGGAGCCTGGTGCAGCTGTTTGCTGTAGCTGCCCAAAGCCTGGGCTGGATATGGCTGGCTGCTGGGAGGCTACAAACAACTGCACTGGGCTCTGGAGCCCTGGTACTGGCTCTGTGCTGATGGTGACTGCACTCATGCCTTGGGATGCCAGGTGGGGAAGGGGCCAAGGCAGCGTAACCCCAGCCCCTCCTGTCATGCTGCTGCTACAGGACCTAGCCAAGGGCACCAGAGCCTGGCAGCTGTTCGCATCCTCTTGACTATCTGCCATAGCTGGCCTGGGCTCTGGGCAGCTGCAGCAGACGGTGGCTAGGCTGCAGACAGCTGCACTGGACTCTGGGCTCTTGGAGCACCTGGAGCCTCTGGGCAGATGGCAGAGGTGGGGCTGGGGTTGCAATGCCTCCAGCCCCTTGCTGGCCATCTGTCTGGAGGTGTGAATGCAGACTGCCGTGGAGACCCAGCAGGGGCTCTGGAGCCTGGTGCAGCTGTTTGCAGCCTCCAGGCTATAGCCAGCCCTGGCTCTGGGCAGCTGCTGTCAGCCGTGGAGCCTCCTGGCCACCTGCTGCGATCAGCCCAGGTTCTGTGGCTGGCGGCAGCTGCCCAGACCCGGGGCGGTCTGTGGCGTGCTGAGCAAAATGACCTAGCCTACCATGCTTTGGCATGTGTGCCAGGGGTTGCCACCCCCTACCTTAGATGCATGCTGCTGTCTTCCTGGTATATATCTGTTATTGTGCTTGTATTGACATCATCAAAGGTAAAATTATGTCTGTGTGTTGGAGGTCACCACTGCTGAAAGACCGGATGATTTCTTCATGGGGGTACCTCTGAAAATGCTGCACAGCTTTGTTCCATTCTTAATGTTAAAAATTGGTGCTTCTTTTCTCACCTTTTAATTCTTATTTCCCCTTCAGCGCGTGCTGTGGTTGAAGAGGGCTGCATGTAGCTATCTCTGGAACCACTCAGTAGTGCACCTATTTTGCATTGGGGGGAGGGAGGTAACTTCACTACCATGCAAAATACTCCCTTGTTTTTGGGTCATGCCTGCATCCTCTGCAGTGCTTCTGGCTCTGGAATGAGGGTCTGAATTATGAAACCCAGTTTCCTATATGGTAACTTACCGTGTAGTCATGCCTTCAATTGCTGCTCTAGTTCATTATTGTGGCCTTTTTCTGGCAGCAGAAGAAATGCTGTCTACAAGACCTGTTGCTCTTTCTATTGCTTTTTATCTAAGTTTGCAATTTCTAGTTGAGGCAATGAGAGTTTATTTCCAGGATCTGTTTCTGAGAAACTGTTTTGGAAACTGCAAAGGATATTGCTTATGCTAGCAATGAAGTGAACTGTACTGTAGGAGCCAGGCATTTCTTACAGAATTTAAATCTCTTATCTCCATGGTGATTACTGTTTGTTTGTACAGTGTTGTGAATGTTCATGATGCTCTCCATGCAAATAAGAGACCATAGCCTTATCCTGAAGAGCCTTGCTCTCTCTAAGGACATGATGGAAGGTCACAGCAAATATTGGGCACAAGGGGAAAGATGAGGGGTCAAGTAACAGTTTGTAAGTTTGTATTCCTTCTCTCTGTCCAGCTAGGTTTCATGAGTGTTAATAGGCTGTGGGGAATTTCTCATTAAGATGTACATGCTGGTTGAAAACCGTACAAGTTCCATCCTTCATCTGAAGAGGTCACCTGGAATTAGATCGTGGTCTCTCTTTGTTGGTAAGACACTAATGATTCTTTCTTGAACATGAGATGAATAATTATGAATAAATATGTTGGAGCTGCTTTTCCTGTATTTTTAAGCTACTCGTGAAATTGCATGGGCATGATTTGATCCATTTAAATGGAGGTTTTAAAGAAAGGGAATTGCATGAAGTTCTCTGAATAGAAGTCCTAACAAACAGACCCATACATTTTCCAAGTAGTTTTGTTTGTGGAGGGACATCGACCCCAACATTGACCACCCTTTAGCTGTGCTGCCGAGTGTGCTTGAAGTCCTACAAAAGTGTGATGGCCTCAGATATGAGATGGCACAAAAAGAATAAATGCGCAGCTGACTGTCTATAGAAACCTGGGGTGAAATCCTGGTTCCATTTAAGTCGGTGGCAAAGCTCCCAGGTATTTCTAGAATCTAAGATTTCCCCTTTGGCATGGTTAGAACATATCATGTCTTAAGGGCACTGTGTAGATATTTGGAATGAAGTATTGCAGCAAGTGTTGAAAGGTAGGCATGTTTTCCCTTTCTTTGTTATATGTCAGGAAACAGAATTGAAGGGACAATCAGTTATTTGTCCAAGACTGCACAGAGAACTGGTGGCAGAATCGAGATTTTGGTTTCCAGTTCTACTTCCTACTCAATGGTGCTTTTTTATAATGTAAAATAATTTCTTGTCAAATTCTTTCATGATGTAGATCCTTCACTCCAGGGCAGGAAATACTTTTGGAGCTTGTGAAAACACTTGGCTGTCTTCTGATGCAGGTTAACATAGTTAGCAGAGGCACAGTTTTTTATTGGTCCTGCCAGACACATTCAACTAAGGGTACCTGATCCTCCTTTTATGAGAAATAATGAATTTAACTTCAGGATGTTTATGTTTTGACTAGGAATCTTTTAGTTTATATATGAGTTTTGCTTGTTTTGAATCCTGCTTCTTATCTTTTTTCCCCCTAGGAATATCTTCCATAGGTCTGGGTGCTGCTTACTATAGTGCAGGTAATATCCAGTCCCTTTGTGGAATATTTGTTTATTCTTTCTTGTTGAAGTTATCTATCACATGGTGATGACTCCTCCTCCTCCCCCTGTAGCTTCTGCCTGATTTTTCTTACATGCCTGGGTTTTGACTGATAAAGTGCCTGTTTACAAACATTAATTAGTTGATTCTTGCAACTTCCCTGGGAAAGTGGTAATTAACAGTCTGCCACTGAACTGAACAGATTTTGCTGCCTTGATGTAGGTATTCTGTCTTTTGTGATTCTGCTAAATCATCCTTGCCAGCAATTGTAATCCTTAGGGTTTATAAAATACCTTCTGAAAAGCAATTTTTCTTTTAGATTGGATCAGCTTGCAAGAAATAACAAGTATTTTTCTGTCTTACCTCCTACAGAAAATATCCGCAAACCATCCTATAAGCTGTTTGTTGCATTCTTTGGGGCTTCAGAGTTGAAAAGTTACATTACCATGTAATTAGTAGATTTCACTGGATTTTGTCCTGGAAAAACCTGTCTGAACACTGTCTGTATCAGCTGACCTTTTTTAAGAGGCTGCCATGAAATCTGTCAAACATACTGCATATAATTTCTTTTCCACCTTCAACAGAAGATTGATTGAACACTTATTTTAGTGACTACTTTGAGCAGGCACTTTAGGCAGGCTACACTGTGTAAATGTTTTCAGCATGTCACATTTTAAATATTTGTTTGCTAAGAGATGTTGACTGATTCCTTTATTGTTATCAAGAAGTGTTTGTTTTGGTGAACTAATTTCCTAGTCCTTCACCCCTGTTCTCTGCAGCACAAATATTTGAGGGTCTATCATAAGAGCCATTTGGACATGCTTGGCTATCTCAGTTTTCAGGAAAAAAATAATGCCCATAATAAAATTCTGCTGCAAGTCTTGTAACAATAAGTGTGTTTATAATCCTGAATAATTCTCATCCCAGTATGGATAAAGGCTTAAAAAAACGCTTTTTGATCATGGAAAACATTAGAAATACCATGTCAGGGTTAAAAAGAAACATGTCCTGTGATAGAAACCATCTTTTTCTCTCTCTTACTTTTCTCATGAGCGGATATGGGGCTTTTTTCTAAATAAAGATCTCTATTCAGTTCTCAAATAGTGTATCTAAAACTTGTGTATTTTGTATTGTTTAGACACATTGGGATGGAAACTCTTCTATATAGCTGGGTGTCTCTTTGTGGCTGCACAGAATCTGGAGGAGTGGGAGGTAAGATGCATGCTGAACTCAGACAGGAAATGAGTTTATGCTTACTTAAAGCATTTGTCAAATGTTGGTTTCAGCAGCCAGGTGTTTTTTTTATATTGTGCAGTACAAATAAGTTATACTGTCGTTGAGAAACTTGGTGGGATTGATACTGTTTAGTAAATTTTAGCCACAAGGTACCTTGGTGCATTGGTTGATTAGCAAGATGACCACAAGCTCGCAAGTGTGGTGGACTTGTGAAAAAAGCCAGTGGACTCCTAGGGTGTGTTATGTGGGGTGTTTTCAGTAGAGATAAGGGAGTGCTAGTGCCATTGCACAAGGAATTGGCAGGATTCCATTTAGAAAATAATTTGCAATTCTGGCCACCAACCTTGAAAAGGATGAATTTAAACTGAAACAGGTACAAAGAAGGGCCACAGAGATGATTATGGGAATGAGACCTTTCTTTATGAAAGAAGGCTGAAGAAGCTTGGTTGTTTTGTTTAACGAAACTCAGATTGAGGGAGGGAGTATTTGTGCATTTGTGTAGTAAATATTAGGAAACAGAGAGCTTTTGAAGCTGAAAATCAACACAAAATCAAATTGGCTACAAACTGGCTATAGACAGATGTAGATTGGAAACTAGAAGATTTGTAACGATCAAAGGAGTGAAGCTCTGGAATAGTGTTCTGAGATTAATTATAGGGACAAAGAATTTGAATAATTTTAAGAGTGAATTCGGTAAGTTCATGGGGGAGAGAGTATGTTAGGACAGGGAGTTATTAGTTCAGCCATCAATATGTGTGACGTGTTGAATCCTGTGTTTGGAATGTGGTGCTGGTAAACCCATATTTTAGAGGTTTTGCTGGTTTGCCTGTAGGGCCTAGGGAATAATGTACTTATTTCTTCCCTGTTATTGCAGTGGTAAGGCAATGCTTTTACCTATGGTATGTTTTAGGGCAGGGGTTATCAACAGGGGATACGCGTGAGTGGGCAGGGATGGAGCACCACCACCCCGCGCCGCCCCTGGAGCAGGGCCTGTGAGGGGCGAGGGCAGTGGCTTCCTTCTGCGAGGCACACAGGCACTACCCAGCTGGCTGGATGTGGGGGTGGGGAGGGGAGCTTGCACGTGGATGCTGCTATCCACCACCCCGTGCTACCACTGCATGCAAGCCCACCCCTGCTCCGTGTCTGGCCGCTGCCATCTTCCCTCACCTCCCCCCTGCTTCTCCAGAAGTGTATGGAGAAGTGGTACACTCCTTAAAAAAGGCTGAAACCCCCTGTTGTAGGGTGTTTTTTGATATTTCTCTTTTTGTGCCTGGGAGTAGTGTATGATGATGTGAAAAAGGGGTTTGGGGGATTTGTTGATAAATGATTGCCTGAAGGCCCCTTCCAGTCCTGTGTTCCTAATTATTTTACTGATGAGCTCAGGTTTAGGGATGCGACTCAGTTAAGCCTACTTGTAGTAAATGAATTCCTCTGTAAATTACTTTTACAATTAAGTTGAATGATTTGCAACATTTGAATTTTGTCTAAAGGGGAGAGAGCAGGAGTAGAGCATTCAGTGACTAAAGCATACTTCCCATACATATAGGCTGGTGCTACTAGTGATAGGGAAGAATCATTAACCAGGACAGATTCCCTCTCACTGCTTCCCCACTCTGTGGGGAATGGTGTGTGGGAAATTTTTTTTTAGTGATGTGATATTTACCCACTAGGAAGTAGATGAAAGACACCAACTAATTTTGCTGCCAGTCAGAAAACTTTCTTGCTGTAGTTACTTGACCTATTTGAATAAGTAACTCGGGCGTAAAAAACTTCGTGTTTCATTAACTGTCTCAAGCCATCAAATCCTTGGAACGTCTTTTTTCAAATATAAGCCTTGTTATAACAGATAAAACCAGCCCTGGCAGTGGTTGGTGATTTGTTGTTGACAAAAGGTGTAGGTAGAATTTATGTACACTGAAGCTTTAGGATTGTTGAACACACACATGCAAGCCTAACAAGGATTTTTCAGTTTCTCCAGAGTGGTATTTTGGTTTATCATCAGGCACAATTTATAGCTATAAGGGATAAGGTAAAAGTGAGACTAAAACCACCTCAAATTCTCTTCTGGGAAGAATTTGAGAGAGAGCCAAGGACAATATTTTGGTTTTATAATCCAGCAGTGAGACGCAAGTGATTATAATTAAACTTATTAAGTTTATATTGCTGAGATAGCATCATTTAATTTTTAAGGTGTAGATGTCAGCTGTTCTTTTTTTTAGAGAATCATTTAGTTAATGTTTTTCAATTTTGCAGGAAGCTGTATTTGACAAGAGCAAGGGAAAAGTCATTCTAAAAACATTTAACCTCTACAAAAAAATACTGACCTTCTCCAAAGGAGGCCATGAACAAGGTAAGAAAGCAGGGGTTTCTGTAGTCACCAAGCATGAGTGCTGGACAGAAGAATTATGTACGACTTTGTTCCATATGCACCTCTAAAGCACTGTACTCAAATCAGTCGTATCCATTCATTTCCAGTGGCTTTGCAGACAGCAGATGCCACCAACGTTTTAAATCTTTTTGACTCAAAATACAAATGAATGTAAAATGGCTATAACTCTCCTCACCTTTGTGGTCAGAGTGCCTGGATTTTTTTTTAAATACTGGTATTAATATTTCCTTGGGTATCTTCTTATTCATGCTTATGTTTTTTTCTGGTTTAATGTACTGAAATTTATAGTGTGTTTGGCAAATGTGAGTGGTGAAAGACCGGGATCTAGGAGTCGCAATAGAGGATTGAATTTAAGGATTTGAATCCCAGTTTATGCAGTCACGGGCAAATCGCTTAAACCCTGTGTCTTTGTTTTACCATCATCATTTAACTCCTGTAACAGACCTGTTACTTGAAATCCTGGGTTGAAGGTGCAATAAAACCAAAGGGTTAGCTCATTCCATTTTAAATTTCTTTATTTGTAATGCGTGCCTACATGCACACACACACAAGTATGGTACATCATTCATATTTATGGGTGTGGTTTACTGTTCAAGTCAGCTCAGAAAATACAGCTGAATACTTGGGATAGGTCGGAGAAGGGCATTTTGTGCCTGAAAGCTCATTTAACACTTCTCCCAACTATATTCAGTTGTTCCAATAAAAGATATTACCCCCAAACTCCCTGAAGCCCCTTTGCTTTTCACATTTTCTGGACCATGTCAGTTACAACAACACAGTCCAAACCTGCTGCTTCTGGAAATGCAAGATGGCAAGATCCAAATTCATATCTTTTAAGCCTCTTGACATTTCAGATTCAGCAGTTGCCAGGCTCTCTGGAACTCTAGAATAGGCAGGAATCCTAAGGGAAAGTAGGAACTTCAGTAACTTAGTGCAGTCTATTTGGGAATAAGCATCAGGTTGGTTACAAGGTTGAAAAAGATCTAAGGGTGCACTCAAAAGATTTTTTTTGGCCAATACTGATGGCTGATTATTAACCAGCCGTATTGGCTGATACCAATCTGATAGCCAGTATGCAGCCTGGCAGCTTGGAGAGCAGTGTCTGGCTGGTAAGACTGGGGGGGGAAGGGGGGCACAGATTGAGGCCTTCACGGTGAAGTAGGGAGTAGGGCAGGGGCAAGGTGGGGCATGGGAAAGTGCCACGGGTAGCTCATTCAGTGCGTGTGGGGGACTGGGGAGTGGGGTGGCTCCTTGCCTCTGTGCGCACCCCTGAAGGACCCCCAGATTTGTGTGTGGGGTGAGGGCAAGCTGCCCACTGTGGGCTTGGGGCCAGGGGCTCTGCTGGTCTCTTACTGGTGGTGGGGGGGCTGAGTTGGGGCTGCACTTGGGGTGTGGGGGTGGTGCCGGGAGTGGGGGGCCATGTGGAATTTCTGGGTGGCTGTAGCCCACCCCATAGCCACCCCTCCCAGTGCTGCCACTGCCTGCCCTGAGCACACCCCTGGCCCAGCCTTGCCTCTAGGAAGAGGCCAACGCAGCCCCTGGCCCTGAGCCTGCAGCAGGCAGCCCGCCTTCGTCAAAACCGGGGGTCTCATGCCTCCCCTGGGGGTGTGTACAGCAGCAGTGAGCTTCCCCTCCTCCCTGCTCTCCCCCTCACCCCCCGAAGAGCCACTTACAGCTCTGTCCTGCACCCTGCCTCGCCCTGCCCCATCTGTGCAGCACTGCCCCAGCCCCACTTGCTCCCTCACTGTGGAGGCCTTGATCTGCCTCCCCATGCCTCTTCCCTCCCCAACACCCCTTCCCTCCCACAGACTTACCGGCTGGATGCTGCTCTCCAAACTGTCGGGCTGCGTTCCTGGACGCATACATGTGTGTGTGGTTGCACACATGCATGCAGCACTTATTGTTGACATTAGCGGCTACACCGGCCAAAAAAAGCCAGTTGCTGATTATCCTTTTATCGATGCGAATCCAATATGAACCGATATATCAGTGTACCTTTAAAAAACATCTCTGGAAATATTTCAGGGATACCGGTTTTAGCCCTGTTGGTCTACAGGCAAAAGTATTCAGAACTCTTGGTAGAAGTGATATCTTTTATCAGACCAACTAAATACTTCCAAAAATTTTTCTTTACTGGTAAGCTTTTGGGCTCATGTGCCTTTCCTCAGGCAAAGGAAAATGCACAGATTGTGACATTTCTCCCAGGTAGAAATGAAACTTCATATTACAGTCTGTGCATTCTCCTTTGCCTGAAGAAGGATGCATGAGCCTGAAAGCTTGCAAGTAAAGACATTTTTTTGGAACTATTTAGTTGGTTTAATAAAAGATATTTCTTCTACCAAGAGTTCTGAATGCTCTGGAAATACTGGAAGTTACAGGTATTCTGTCACATGGGAACTTGGTTTGCTGTGACTGTGTCAGAAATTAAAATGAGAAACTGAGGCAGACTCAGTCCTCTCTCTGCAGCACACCACTTGGGTCCTGGTGTTATCCCCCTCTCCCCAGACATAGGTGTACTGAGGAAGCAGCATGTTCAGCTTCTGGAAGGAGCATCTGGGGTGCTGCATCTGGTTTGCTTTGAGCTTTCTGCTTTTGACTCTTCTGCCACTCCAGCTGTGCAGCTAAGGGCAGAAGGGTTTTTACAAGTATGTCAGTAGCAAGAGGAGGATCAGGTAAAGTGCAGGTCCCTTACTGAATGGGGGAGGCAACCTTGTGTCAGGAGATGTAGAAAAGGCTCAAGTGCTCGATACCTTTTTTGCCTCAGTCTTCACAGGCAAGGTCAGCTCCCAGACTACTGCACTGGGCAGCCCAGTTTGGGGAGGAGGTGAGCCAGCCCTCAGTGGTGAAAGAACAGGTTGGGGACTATTCAGAAAAGCTGGATGTGTACAAGTCCATGGGGCCGGATGGGATGCACCCAAGGGTGCTGAGGGAGTTAGCTGATGTGATTGCAGAGCCATTGGCCATCATCTTTGAAAACTTATGGTAATCAGGAGAGGTCCCGGATGATTGGAAAGGGGCCAACATAGTGCCCATAGTTAAGAAAGGGAAGAAGGAGGATCCAGGGAACTATGGACCAGTCAGCCTCACCTCAGTCCCTGAAAAAATCATGGAGCAGATTCTCAAGGAATCAATTTCTAAGCACTTGGAGGAGAAAAAGGTGATCAGGGGCAAGTCATGCCTGACCAACCTGATTGCCTTATATGATGCGATGACTGCCTCTGTGGATGTGGGGAGACTGGTGGATGTGGTGTACCTTGATTTTTAGCAAGGCTTTTGATAGTCTCCTACAACATTCTTGCAGGCAAGGTAAGAAAGTATAGGTTGGATGAATGTAGTGCAACGTGGATACAAAATTGCCTGGAGCATTGGGCTCAACAGAGTATTAATCAATGGCTCGATATCTAGTTGGCAGCTGGTATCAAGTGGAGTGCCCCAGGGATCAGTCTTGGGGCTGGTTTTCTTCAATGTCTTCATCAATGATCTGGAAGATGGCACAGAGTGAACACTCAGCAAATTTGCAGATTAAATCAAGCTGCGGGGAGTAGTAGATATGCTGGAGGGTAGGGCTAAGATTCAGTGACCTAGACAAATTGGAGGATTTGGACCAAAAGAAATCTCATGAGGTTCAACAAGGGCAAGTGCAAAGTCCTGCACTTAGGATGGAACAACCCTGTGCACCGGTGCAGGCTGGGAACCGACTGGCTAAGCAGCAGCTCTGCAGAAAAGGACCTGGAGGTTACAGTGGCAATAAGCTGAATTTGAGCTAGCAGTGTGCTCTTGTTGCCAAGAAGGCTAACAACATATTAGGCTGCATTGGTAGGTGTGTTGCCAGCAGGTCGAGGGAAGTGATTATTCCCCTCTATTCAGTACTTATGAGGCCACATGTAGAGTACTGTGTTCAGTTTTGGGGCCCCCACTGCAGAAAGGATGCGGACAAATTGGAGAGAGTCCAGCAGAGGGCAACAAAAATGATTAGGAGGCTGTGGGACATAACTTGTGAGGAAAGACTGAGGGAACTGAGTCTAGAGAAGAGGAGATTGAGAGGGGATTTAATAGTAGCTGTCAACAACCTGAAGCGGGGTTCAAAAGAGGATGGAGCTAGACTGTTTTCAGTGGGGACAGATGACAGAACAAGGAGCAATGGTCTCAAGTTGCAGCAAGGGAAGTTTAAAGTTTGATATTGGGAAGAATTTTCTCACTAGGCGGGTAGTAAAACACTGGAACAGGTTATCCAGAGAGGTGGTGAAAGCTCCAGCCTTAGAGGTTTTCAAAACCTGGCTAAAGTTTTGGCTGGGATGATCTAGTTGCTTTGAGCAGGGGGTTGGACTAGATGACCTCCTGAGGTCCCTTCCAACCCTAACTTTCTCTGATTCTAAAACTAAAGCTATAAACTATCTTGCATGAGATCACAGGTCAATTAGAAATTGAACTCGTGGTGCCCTCTTGGTTTTCACAATCATACTCTTTTCTGGGCTGAATCAGATTGCCTGCTGATATTAAAATACTGTGGAGTAATTAGAAACTTGAAAACATTTAGAACATCTTTCAGTGTATAGTAGGTCTTTAAACAGATTCTGTGTCTGTGCTGGAGGTGTGTATTAGTGTATGAACTTCTTCACTTTTTTGTGTCCTGGAAACTAGGTAGATGTCTTCTAAGAACATATATTTTGCCAGGAACAGGGAGCAAGTATCAGTTAGCGTGATAATGCAGATCAACGGATGCTCTGAAAATGACTGATCTGAATGTTGAAATCTTTCATCTACTCAATCTCCTTAAATTTACCTACTTTCTACAGAAAACAGTTCAAACAGCTATTAAAGAAAGAGGGAAAACGGTGGGAAACAATAAATTGGGCAGGTGCCCAAGTTAATTGCTACAGACTATGCTGGCTGGTGCATACTGCTTTGCTTTGGCGTTTACTCTGTGCAGTCAGTGGTGTCTGGTGTCCTGACTGCAGGTTAGAATTTACCCAGCTGAATGGGAGGAGGGCAGAAGTATGAAGCCATCAAAGGTAGGAAGGGGTTGTTGAGAGTCTCAGTTGCATAACTGAGAAGTAGAGTGTGGAGAATGGCTATTACAATAATCAGTTTCTTTTTCCTTACTTTTGCAAACAGTGGTGGCTCTGCTGCATGAGATTCGAGATGTGAACGTGGAAGAAGAGACTGTGCGTTATTTTGGGAAGGGTTACCTGGTAGTGCTACGATTTGTCACTGGATTTTCACACCCACTGACCCAGAATGCAGTGCTGGGCTGTAGGAGGTGCAGTATAAATTATATTTTCTGATTAACAGTGTGCATAAGGGCAGATGTTTATCACAGGGTCGGCGGCCAGATTTATAGGAGGCTGACTATTAGCTGTTGGCAGAATTGTCCTGTCTCGTTTTCTAGACTTATTTTTAACCATTAGTAGGAATACTCTGTTTATGGTTTTCAGACCCTTTGATATTTTGAGTCACTTGAGCTGACAGCATCTGCCTAATTAGATTTACAGTATTTTCGTATTTAAGGCCCCCTTAATACTGTATTTGATTCACAGTAATTCAGTCCAGAGGAAAACTGGCCCCTAGATCATTGTTGCTATTTTATACTAGAAACTCCTTGTGCTACATACCATGAAATCTATTTAATTAGTCACTAGGATAACTCCTCACTTTGTTCTCATAAGTTAGTGCACCGAGCTCTTGCCAGGTCCAGTGGTTGAACTGGAAACACTTTGGCCTGTTCATCACATTAACACTAAATTAGTTATTTCAAAATGTGTACACATACTATATGTGAAAGTTGCTCCTGGTAATTAGTTATCTTAAAAGGTACTGACTTTTGCTCTGTCAAGCCAGTCAATGTTTGCAAAGATTTGGATGCTTTGCAATTTGTTTTGGCTCAGTAAGATGTAGGTAATCAGTTGTCTATGTAACCCCCACGTAGAGAGCACACCAATTTTTTTCTAGTAAGAAACTGTACATTAAGTATCTATCTGTATAATGTTACATTGCTCATATAGCAAGGTAGCATCCATACAGTTTGCACTTGGATTTTATTGTAGTATTTTTCTTTTCCATGTTAAATGTCAAAAACATTTTTTGTTGTGTTTTTAATATGACATGCAAAATATGTATCCCAAAAAAGTTGAAAATGGCTAATTACTGATTATTAGTTACTCATAGATAATTAGTCATTGTTACCAGTTCCCTTTGAGTGATAAATTAATTGGATTTTACTGTACTGTACAAACCTGTAATTAAAACAGCTCTTTGGAACAGGGACTTACAGTTGAAACCAGACACAAATAAGAGCCAAGAGCAGAAGTGGGCAGTCGGGACAAGAAGTGCAGAAAGCAGCAGGCCCAGTGTACTAGCTTTCCAGGGAGAAGTGACAGGCTAGAATCAGGCTGTTTCTACTATTTTATTTTTAGAGATAACATTTTATGTCTCCAGAAGGAAGTGCATATTTAAGAAGAGATCACTCAACAGCTTTACTTCTGCTTCTCAGGAGCATGTGACATCTTCAGAGAGGCTGAGGGTGATGAGGAAATTTACAGTACATTTCAAGGCCTCAGCCAAACTGTTTAAGAGTAGTGTGGACTTAATGGGAGAAGTTAAACTATATTAGTGACGGTTATTTTACTATTAGGTGTTTTGGTATGACAGGAACTGTTTTGAAAACTAAATAGACAGCCTCTGTCATTAATGGCGCTCGTAAGCATTGTGCCTTGTCTCAGAATTAGAACTTTTATTATCCCCATTCATTCTACTTCTTTTAGTATAGCTATAGGAATCTGATTCTCTTCTACCTTGTGTGACTAGTGCAGTTATCAGCTAAGTTATGCCTGAAGAATCGGTAAAACTGGTGATCTAAATTAGAGATTCACTGGCTTCTCAGCTGCTAAAGGGAATTCACTTGTGAATGAAGCCTATTCAGATATGAACATCATAGGGAGATTGGACCTTGATGTCCCTTATGGGGAGGTGCTGTTAATTATAGCCTTATTCCATAGACTGACCAACTGTTCAGATAGTGAAAGTGCCCAGTGTTGGTTAAGTACCTGTCTCATCAGCACCATGACATTAATTCTTATGCCATTTATTTTTTTTCCAGTGATGCGGAAACAGTTGCCAAGCTCATTGTTAGCTTTCTGAAACTGAACATCACAGACAGCCATCATGACCTCTCGCAGAGCAGTGAAATGGAGGACAGTGATGCAGATGAACCCAAGGATGAGTATTAATAGTAAAAATGAAGCGAATAAAGCAGAGCCATTTGAGAATGGTGCTGGTTACATTTCATCCAAGAAGACCTTCAAGATTTTGGAGCGCCTATCTCTTCTATGCTTGGGAATTCTGCTGTAGTTACAATTGTAGGAGTCTGAGTTAAGGCACATCAGTGCTGAATTGCTTTAATTTTCTGCATCCAATAAACTGTTTTCTCCTTGGATGCTTCAGTATGAACTTGCTCAGACATGGCTATGTACAGTCTAAAGCAAATATGATGTTACTTTTCCATGTAATTTGCAGACGTAGACGATACTTGTTTGCGAATTTTGTCACCTTATTCTAATTATGTAGTTATTTATTAATGAATTAGTTTGAACTCCTTTCTTGTTTTTCATATCTACACGTGTAAACTTCCAGTTATTGCAGATATCTACTCTAGATGCAGGTTAACTGCCTTAACATGAGTAAGTTGGGGCTTTGTATTTCTGTAAGTCATATTATGTTATTGCTTGAAAACTTAATGTAATATAGATATCTAATTACTGTAGCTAAATTTACAGAGTAAGTAACTGAATTGATTTTAGGCACCATACTATAATAAATCAAAAAGGTAAGTCAGTATCTTAACATTTAGGGTGATGCCAAGGTCTGTAGGATGGAAATGTCAGACTTACCATTAGAACTAATAGAAATCAAAGTTTGAGTTTGAAAGTGTCTAAATTGACCAGTATTATATTTAAAATTATATTGCAGGACAGCTCCTCTTGGGTTGGCCAAAGAAGTATGATTGCCTTTTTTTAAAAAAAAATAATATAGAAACCATGTTGGCACTTGCCTTAGAACAGTTCCAAGCCGTTGATAAGTTCTCAAGCTGCTGGTTGGAAGAGAGACCTAATTTGATCCAGGTAACAGTAGAGGTGGGCCTAAAGTTCTGTTACCCTAAGTACTTTTAAAATGATAAATCCGTTACTGCATGGAAAGCCTGCCACGTGGGTTTTTAAAAATGCCAACTGTAACAAATAAAGCGGTAGCCTAGATCTGTCAGTTTTCCATATTTTAGGACTTTTGGCAGGTGAGAGAGTATCTTTGTAGCCTTGGATGCTATCTGAATATAGCTGGGATAGCGAAGTACATCAGTGCTTTGTGACCAAATCTAACTCCAGCATACATGGTGCTGGTGATCTTGGTTTTAAAAGTTTGTTTCTTGAATGGTTTTATTCATATAAATATATAATGTCAATGTATCTTCTGAAAAATAAGAGTGGATTTTTGGACAATCTACCTCTGCACTGATCAGAGTTTTGCTAGAGCTGGAACTCTTAGTTATGCTTGTTAAGATGTCATATTGCTGAGAAAACACAGTATAATATAGTGAGCTAAAAGTAACTTCAACATAATAAAACTTGTACTTTTTTTGGACAGCACAGTGTTAAGACCTGAATTACTTAGGACTGTGTGTTTTATTTCATAAACCTTTATTTAGCAGTTTAATATATCAAAGTTAATGGAGCTTTTGTTTAACTCTAATTAATACTAAAATTATTTGCTGGATGTATATCACCTATAACTACCTCATAGAAGGTAGCGTTGATATGCTCTTGGCTCAGCAGGAGATCTGAACTGGATCCTAGGGATAAGGCTAGTCTAAGCATGAGATTGCTTGACAGTAGACCCATGCTCCAGAAACAATCTCTTTAGCAGCCAGATGTCCCCAAGTGTTTCTGCTTTATAATTCCCTTGCCCCAGCTCCCCAGTTTTAGGGAACAGAGGCAGGAAGACTTTTGGAAGAAGCCAAACTGCTGTTAGACTGGCCAAGAGCTGCCTGGGTAAGACATTGAGAAGTCTGAGCCTCAATCCAGCAAAACTCTTAAATGTATGTTTAGCTTTAAGCCCAATGGATAGAGGGTACTAGGATTCTAACCTGTGCTTTTTATTCCCAGCCTTAACAGTCTAGCATACACAGGTGTGAGAGATCTTGTTCTTGCTGCTGACTTCAAATGGGAATTAAATCATAATAGGAATACAATTCAGAACATCAGCTTAATCTTGGCAGTTAGGGCGTTGTTTTCTGTCCCCAACAGGTGACGGCACATGGGAGATACAGAGTATAGTTTGTGTGTTTGGATTTGATTTTGAAATGACAGTCTTACTAAAGTAATACGATTTGCCCAATTCTCCCAGGGCCATAATCCACAATGATACAGTCGAGACATTTCTTGCACATGCCTCCCCTTCCATCCTTTGGTTTTTAATTTTGGGCATTCTCTTCCTCCATCACCATGTCTGACTTAAGGATTACACACTCCACAATGAGGGATAAATGCTAATATCTGGAATGTGGGAGACTTGATTGGAGAGTTCAGCATAATGGCCTCAGACTCATTCTTTGGAATGGACCAAGGCTCTAAGGTTTGGGCCACAGACTCCTCTTAGTACCCAGCTGATCTCCTACTAATAACAGTGAGAAATCTATATTAAGGTTGAGGCTAGAAAGTGCCAGTTACATTGGTAGGGTTAAAGGCCTGGCCTACAGATTGAATCCTGCCTGAGATATTTAGCACCTATCAGATTGGTGCTTAGTCATCTTAATTTGGTTTACATACATAGAACATCCTTACAAACACACTAAACTATGTTCTTCTGCAGTAACTGAACATTTTAACGCCCCCAACCTGCATCTGAACGAGCTAGTGCAGTGGTTTTCAACCTTTTTTCATTTCCAGACCCCTAAAGGTTTTGAATAGAGGTGCAGATCCCTTTGGAAATTTTGAATGGAGGTACAGGCGCCTTTAAATTGTAAGTGTGGGTATTCACATACTTTTGATCATAGCTGTTTTTCGTGGACCCCCTTAGACATAGGGGACCCTTAGGGGTCTGTGTACAAGCTGAAAACCAGAGCTAGTGCAATCCCCTGCACTGGTTTTGATTTACATTTTTATTTGGAGTCCTTAATTTTGTTCTGGCCACTATAAGAACTGGAATAGCTTTTAAGCAAAGTCTTAAATTCTGCAAACCAAGTGAATGTGATAGGAATGCTAGATACATCAGGTGGGATACAGTCTGCAGGCCAGGCCTTTAACCCTACAGATGTAACTAGCAGCTTGGTACATAGTGTTACTGCCTCTTGGCTGGGGGAAAGAACTTCAGTGCAACCTAAGACAAAAAATTATTAAATACACACTTGTTTTCAGAATTTGCCAGTGGATTTACCTCTTCTTCATGCAGAAGTGTTTGTAAAGTCTTTGCTGATCTTGCTACTTCTCAATGAATAATTAATTCTTCCCATTCAGTCTAGCTGTTGGATACATCCAGATTGTGTTTCACATTTTAGAAAAACTCTGTGTGGGAAATCTAACTTGCAAAACTGAACAAATCGGTGAGCACATCGCTGACCTTTACTTTTTTGTACAAAGTAAGCATATTAAAGGACTTAAGTCACAATTCTGCAAATCCTTTAATTTGCACGTTGAGTAGCCTTACTTGAAACCACAAGCCTACTTGAAGTTAATCATGTATTCAGAAGATTTAGCTTATGTCACTGTACTGAACAAAACTAGAAGAAACATTCCAGGTGAGGGAGTAACATAACCTGGGCAACTAAATTCCTTTTACGTTCACTTAAAAAAAATTCCAGCAGTTGGTACCAAATCCACAACTCCCACAAAGAGTTCTTAAATGGTAATTTAAGTTCTGTTTTCCTTGCCAAGTGTCATGATTCAGACCTAACCTGTGAATCTCCTATAACATCATTCAATAGGTTAGTCAGTTTGTTTATAACATTTGAATAAAGACCATCAGTTATGATTTCAGTAGACTCCTGAAAGAGAAGTGGAACATTTCTGTCACGTTTGCTTTTTGACATTTTTTCACTGATTCTGCAAGAAGTGTTTAGACAGTTAGTCTTGTACGCTGCAGTTTTTTTAAGTTGCCAATGTTTCAGAGAAACCAGTTTTGACAACTTTTTAATGTAGATTTGGCATTCTTTATTCATTGACCGCTTGCTATTAAAACTTGATGGCTGTTCAGCTACTTACCAGGATGCAAATGTACTAAGGAGTTGTGTTTTCTAATCATGTTTTTAAATATAAACAATGAATTAGAATAGAAATCTGGTGCAATAACTCCTTTGTCTGTATGTAAAATTGATATACTTGTAATTGTCTGTCTTAAGTGGTCAGATTTTTTTTTCCTTCAAAGAAAACTTGCTACACTGAATGTGTGCAAAACCTGTGACATTTTTCTAAAAGCAAATGGATCTTAGGTCTTAAACTTCTAAGGCATTCTAAACTCAGACAAAGGGTGCTACCTTCAATTAACCAAAACCTGAATGAACATAACACAGAAAGCACAGGCTAAAGGTGGTTGTTCTTTACTTTATAGGGTTTAACTCACATCATACTCCTTTTTCTGGTCTGATTAAATTTATTAATAGGTCAAATATATATGGCTTTCACAGTAGATAGTACAACTTACCCATAATCCTTCCTGAGGGTTTCTGCATACTTACAAGTTTCAAGTAAGCAGCGTATAATGCAAATAATTTAAAGGTGTTTCAAATATTTATTGTAAAATGAGCACACTTGGAACATTTGAGTTTGACCTGATTTCAGTGTCAGTACTGGGAGAGAGAAGTTACCAAGCTAATCAGCAAGTGGAGTTTGTCATGTTACCATTTCTACTTGTCTTTACCTCATGAAAGAATATCACTATTGATTTGAATCTGGATAAATCCATATCCTCTCACCCTTTCTAATATAACGAACACAACTGAGCTTGGCCCCATTCTTGTCTTCCCTGTTATACAGTGGAGTAAGTCTAGTCCACTACTGAAGTTTGGTGTATTTTCAGCCTCTGAAGTCAGCTAATCATTTGTTAGAAGTGAAAACAAAACCCCGAATCCTCATACTCTCATGCTAGCATAAATCCCTTGCTAGTGTCTACAGCTGTTTTCAGCCGAGTTGCCTGCTCTATTCTAGGGGTGATTTAGCCCTGGTTATGTGATTACTCATAAATTTGCACCCAGCAGGATCTCAGATGAGTCAGTCTGCAGTTAGAGAGCAGCTATGATAGTGCTTGTATTGCTGCATCCAAGTCATTCATCACTTGCTGAAGTTTTTGTAGGCTGGGATGGACATTCTCCTCCATCCACTCCTCTATAGTACACAAGTAGAAAACTCTCTCCATGGCTACTTGAAGGTCTTGTGCCAAGGCATTCCACTTGGAGTGAAGACTAAGCAGAAACAAAAGGAAGAAGCCAACAGGTTGTTGCTGTACATATTTTTCAGAACCCACCACATTCACAAGCAAGCCCTGGCTGAACACAGGTTGCCCTTTTCATAGAGGTACAGTTCCAAGGCTTTAATGTTGCACCTCTTTCTCCAGGAAAGGGTGTATATTATATAGAATTTTGATGCATTTTACCCTGTAGGCTGGTGAAATGTTGAGGTTACTGGACTGTAGGTTAGGTTTCTGGAACTGTGATCCTGACCTATGTCTAATATGGTGACCTTGAAAAAGAGTTGCAGAACCAACAGTTCTGTACAGGGACTGAATATTCTTTCTTAAGCCTAATTAAAACGTAACTTTGATTAGTAGGGATTTAAATCTGACCACTAAAAAAATCTATATGTCTTGATATCCTCCCACCATAGTAATAATTTAAAACTGGCTGGAGAGAGACAAATCAATGAAGTAGCTCCTGGAAGGGCCAAAGAATTGCCTGAGGCACTGAACTGGGATGGGGGGAACCTGGGTTCTCTCTCGGGCCCTAACCACTGGCTTCTTTTGCAACCTTGGTCAAGTCTTTCACCAGATATAAAATGGGAATGATAATTTTCTTTTCAAGGATGAACAGCACTAGGTAAAGTCTGGCATATAGCCATTCTGCTCAGAGATTGGATTATGTTTTTTAGGGGGGAAAATAATTTGTTTTAAACACTGGTACCTAAGCACTAATAATGGAAAACTGCAAGGACTTGAAACCTCAAGTTTTGGTAGTCACCAGAACACATGAAAATTATGACTTTTATTTCCCATCTATTGCAAAGTGGGGTGTTGAGTTACCTTAGTACATCTGGCTGAAAGTGATGTATAATTATAGGATGAACAATCTTCCTCTCTCTGGGCTAGGGGCTGACCCAGCCTGTGACATACCTGAAAATGAATCTAAATGTGAATGTTCTTTGGAACAGCAATCGCAGAATGGTGAACAGGAAAACGTACATGAAGGCTAAATGCGGAAGTGGTGTGACTTAAGCTGGATTTCCCCTACGTTGAGGCAGAGTAGGTTTATGTATGTCCAACAACATTTTACCCTTTGAATATGGTCTTAGCCTTGCAGGGTGGGAATGGCTGGGGCATTTTTGCCATAACAACACACATTAGTCTGCTTTATACTAACTTTCAAAGAGGATGTTTTGCTTTTGGTGACAGCGAGGCCCTGATTTGGCTAAAGCAGTGGATGCCAAATTTTTTGGCAGGCATGCCACAAATTAAGTCCTGCACCCTCCCCAAGTCCATCCTCTCCCCATGCCTGATCCTCCACTTTGCTTTCTGCTCCTTACCCTATTTGCCACTGTGCTGCCTGCCCCTTCCCTGATCTGCCGTGTGCCACACACACAGGCTGCCTGTACCACATGTGCTGCGGGTTGGCCACTGAGCTAAAGCATTTAATCATGTACTATGCTATATAGAGATGGCTGTGGTGTTCAGGTGCTTGCTGAATCCAGCCCTAAATGGCTTACCCTCTACTGAGACTCCTGTTTCAGAGCAGAGGGGGCCATGTAATATCTTAGCCTTCATGAAGTTCACAAGTACAAACATTATCCAGAAGCTGTTTGAATTTTGTGCTTCTTCTGTACATCCAGGGCACATTACTTTCATTCGGCAAGTGTAGCTATTTACAAGAAACTCTTAAGTTTTCACCTGTTTTGTTCAAGAAGTTCATCCACTGAGGGCTTCAGGTAGAAGCCAACTTGAGTCACAAGGGTGAAGATGTCACTTCCTGGAAAGGTCCCCTGACTTGCACTGTTCAAAGAGAATCTCTGTCAGTCCTTGACATTACCACAAAGAGAAGCATCTGAATCTAGTGACTGGGGCTTTACCTCATGAAAGTGTCAGTTTCCAGATTGGAAATCCCCAGGTATTTTTCCACATTTTCTTTAACCATTTCAGAATAGCCATCTGAGAAGAGGACAGGTGCAGTAAGTAAAAGGGGAACAGGGAAAAAAGGAAGCCATAAATGTCAGAGGGTTCCAATCCTTACAATACTTTTTTCTGAGGGATTTTCAGAAGCACTTCCTCTCCTTATGCAGTTGAAAGTAAAACGTACTTAAATAGAAATTAGAGCTGAGCCAATGCTAGGAATTCTGAAATCTCTACTCATGGAGTTAGGGACAGTTTGCTAATTCTCATGCTAGAAAAAAGCCTTGCCAGTCAGTTTCCACACTAGAAACTACTGCTGTCAGCCTAGGTTTCTTCTTACCATAAGCACTACTTATACTGGGGTTTCCCCTCTATTTTTAGCTACATTTGGGTTTTACAAAAAAACAGGAGGTTGTTTTCTAAAGAAATGTTGCAAAACAAAGGTACTCCAGGATTAATATTTTAGATTAAAACCTAATCTGCATATATTTTATACCATTCAACTGTTTTGATTAGGGGGGGTCTAGTTATTTCACTGAAATAGTTATGCTGATGCAGTCACTAATGTGGATACAGTTATAAGGTCTAAAGGCAACCTAATACCTATGATCTTTACAGCAATATACTTGCATGCACTCTAACATGGCTGAACACCTTTAACTATATCAGTATAGTTAAAACAGAACAAGTTTTATAGGTAGACAAGACCTGAGGGAATTGTGATTTGGATAATTAATCAATTAGTCATTTATGTAAGAGGCATGAATCAAATCAGCTTCAAAAGCAATTCCTGTGCCAGGGGTTCTCAAACTTTGCAACACTGCGACCCCCCAGCGGCCAATTGATGAGCGGAGGGGTCCTTTGTGCACCCACGCGGCAGCGTACGGGTTTGTGACCCCTTTTTAAGTTGCCCACAACCCCTGTGGGGGTTGCGGCCCACAGTTTGAGAACCCCTGTCCTATGCTAAAAGGAATTAAGTATGTAATAAGTGTCCAGTTATGACCTCCATGAAGGCATTATAAGAAGATTTTATAATCAAAGGGCTTACAGGTTGCATGTGAACCTGCCCACATTTTAAGAATGTGGCAACTGCTATTAAGAGACTCATGCCTATGGGGAAATGAAGCACATGGAATTACACTAGTAGTGTTTTTAATGATCAGATACGTATATAAAATTTTGAGCTCGTTTGATCCTGCAGACTTCTAGGCACAGTTAATTTTTTTTGGACTGGGCATTAGCTGTGAGGGAGCATGCAGATGTCACTGTGTACCATTCTCTAGTGCCTGCAGACATACAGCCAGCGATGGGATTCCCACTGGGAGCAGCTCACACAAAACAGAGAAGTGGTCATACCTGAAAAGAAAATGTCCCTCCATTAGATGCTGTGCTGTGAACAGTACTTTGATAATATAAAATGTTAGGCTTGTATCCAGTGATCTCAAAGTGCTTTAAAAACTTAACTTTCTGAGAAGATACATTGTTATAGCCTCTGAGAAGCACCTGTACAATGATCCACATTTACTGATGGGGGAATTTACGATGACATCAGACTACACCTTTACTTATTCCTTATTTACTATCATTTCCTCATGCTGATTCATGGTATTTGAAACCAGTTTTAAGGTTGGACATACACCCTGTAATGTCTTTAATTCTGCCTTTCCTTTCCTTTGATATTAAAATAACTCCTTCCAAAGCTAGTTAACTATCTGTTGAAGTGTCTGTAGTGAAACCGTAAATGGTAAAGGTTTTACTGGATTGTAAGAGTTTGTGAAACCTCACACTGCTAAAATGTTTGTGCTTTGAAAGATAAAAATAACAGGTCCTATCAAAGTTAGACTGCGATCATTTTAAGGTCATCTTTTACCCCTGTAGTTTCCTCATTCATGCTCATCACACCATCTTCTTATACAAAATCGTTCCTATGAATGTTACAAATCAGGAATTTGGTTATATATTTTATTGGACAAACTGACATCCAGCTGATCCAATGCAGTTGGTTCAGTGAAGTATATCACCCTCAAAAAATCTTTGTCTCTCCCATAGTTCCTGTACCATTGTGGCTATTGTAGCAGTGTACCCCTAAAAATCAGGATAGTATCTGAAGAAAATGCCCTCTCTTCATATGCAGAATGATCTTTCTTGCAAATCCAATCCAAGGGCTTCTAAAACAGTTAATGTTCGCAGTGTAACCCTTCACTCTGCCTCAGGACCTCACTGTTGCAAGTGTCTCCCTTATTGGCCTTTGCTGCTGGTTAATTCTGCAAGTAACAAATCACAGGTCCAGTGGTTGTTATTCTTTCTATGTTAAGCATCTATTCCCAGGTGTGGCAATTTATCATTTGGGTACAGGCCTTAAGATCTTTTTGTCCTCTTCCTTTACCGTTTTTATCCCCCCTCCACAGCCTTAGTCCTTCTGAGGCATGGGGACAATTGGGACTGAAATCTATCAACACTACATAGAATCAGGTGGACAGGAGCTAGAAGCAAACCTAACAGACGGTGTTGCATTACATCAGGCTTCCCCTGCGGGTCCTTGGTTCCCCTCCCCTGCCTTCTTTTGATGCTGTTACCTGGAAGATTTTTTTTACCTGTGTTTCATGTAGAAATCTGCCCTTACCTTTGCCAGCCAGTCAGAGCAATGCCCTGGAGCATATCTGCATGGCCACTGTGTGCCACTTTCAGCCACTGGAGATGGTTTTTTAGGTGATGTCCAATATGGGTCAGAGACTGATTTGCCCCGGTTGCTCCTTTAAAAGCACTAGCAAACCACAGCTTGGGAAAGTTGCACTTGTGATACTTTTCTATGAGAAGCACTGAAATGGAAGATGTAATGGCACAGATATTGGGTTTGGATTTTGATGACAAATCTAAGTTTTTATTTCTTTTAAAGTGCAATATCTTATGGCATAAATGTCTCTATCCTTTTTAACAGAAGTGCAGACTAAGGTTTTTTGACATATTCTATTTCTTCCCTTCTACTAGAGAAGAGCCATGCTTCTCTCAAAACCTTCTCAAAAGCAATAAACCATCATGGAGATTCTAACAGGATCTGTATGTTTTTATAGTCACTTATTAAAACAATTAATGAATTAAGGGAAGGTCTGTTTAATAAAGCAGACACTTTTGATGTCTAGGCACCACAGGCTATAATTTTGGGAATGTGGCCATTTTTAAAGAGTTAATTAAGCTCTTTTCTTCCTCTAAGCAGCTCAGTAGAAAGAATACAAACCTTTGCTGTCTACATCGATATCTTCTGCATAGTCCCAAATCATTGGCTCCACGAGCTCTGGTACCCCCGATTCTGGAAAGGGAAGAATTTGTTTAAGTGAAGCAAAGTGGTAACTTAAGGCACAGACCAGAATCTGGGTTAATGGTGCAATGACACATGCATCACACCATGGCTAACACTGCCAGGCCCGGACTATAATATTTTACAGGTACAGAACAAGCAGCTCTACTGTGTACTTTCTGCAGATCCTCTCCCTGCCAAGCCCTGGCTTAGTGAGATCTCAACCATAGGAAGAGGCAGTTCAGACTCCAGGATCTATTTGTTCAGGCTTTCTCCTGAAATTGCTAACAAGGGAGCCAAGTAGAGAGAACTCATCAGACAGACACTATTCCACTGGCAAGACGAAAAAGCTGCATTTCCAGTCTATCTTATTACCATTCCTCTGGGCACATTTGATAGCTGGTACTTGAACTTAGAAAACTGCATTGTGGCATAAATGCAATTACTCAAATCAGAATTTTATCTCAGTTCTCTGGGTCTATTAGTACATTTGATGATGGGAGGAAAGGGCACAATCATACATTCTTTGCACACCTAAAACTTCTGCTAACTTGCTGTTTGTATGCATGCGGGGCAGGGACTGTAGTGTAATATGCCTGCTGCTTTATGGTCCTGGTGCTTTGAGGCTTGCTCTCTGGCAATACAACACTACTACAACTAACGGGGGTAGGCTGGCTCCAAGTTAGTCTGCAACAGACTCATTCACCTGGATTGAAATGTTAGAGAATCAGGCCTTGAGAAAGCAGCCCCACCCACACCATGGTCACCTCTGCCATAATTCAACACTATGCGTGCCTAGATCAGGTCAACAGTTCAGCCTCTCAGCTATAGCAGGAGGGTGCACCAAGCTGGATGCTGTACCAGCCTTATGGCAGATTCATTTGTTTTGCCTACATTTGCCTTTGTTCCCACTGTTAGATTTCCCACCATGGCTAGCGCTTGCACAGTTCAGTCAATGGTGATGGGGCTACAGGTGGCCATCAGTATTGTAATGGTGTTGCCCATGTCTGTTCAGAGCAGGTCTCCACAATACAATAGGGAGAATGCTGGTGGCTGCCTGGAGCCCTGTTTGTCTGAAGCTGCTCCAGGTTTGGCAGGAGTTGGATTTTTTTTCAGAAACAAAGCAAGGGCAGAACAAGGCCATTGAGCAATCCCTAAGGTCAGCGTGTGACACGCCACCACATGTTCAGTGATAATGTGCCATGTCAAAGATACTGGGTCATAGCTTCTTTCCACGAAACTGCACCCCTGGAAGGTAGCTGCTTCTCTCTAGGTCACCTTGTGCCCAAAAAGCCATGGAAGTGGGCTGAGGGCATGGAAGCAAAACTCTGCCTTGATTTATTTTTTTAAATGAACAAAGACAAGGTTTTATTCCATAAACCACCACAAAGGGAGCAGTGACTTCTCTACTTTAGCTGCCTATATGGACCCTTTTACCAGCATGCCTCAGCATCTCTCAGTCTTCAGCATATGTATTCCTCACAGCACCCTTATGAGGAAGGGCAGTGTTGTTACCCACATTTTACAGAGGGGAAACTGAGACAATGTGACTCGATCAAGGTCATACAGGAAATCTGTGGCAGAGTAAGGGATCAAAGCCAGGTCCCTCAAGTCCTAGGCTAATGCCTCATCGCTAAACCATCCCTCTTCTCCTTTTTGCTATTTGAAATGAATAATTTGTTACCTGTTCCTGCCCCTACTGAAAGGGGAGTTGCGTAGTACAGCCTGTTTCAAACAATGCATTTTAATGGTTTTTAAGTCTCTAAACGCATGAGACACACCCCTCCCAGATCATTCACCTGTCAATGTTTCATCATTTATCCCTCTGAGCATGTCATCCCATACTATGGGCTTCACTGTGGGATAAGATGAGGCAATGAAACCTGCCACAGCTTTTACGTGGGACAGGAACAACTTCTCTGGGTTATTATCCTGTTGCTGCAACCACTGCTTTGATTCCTCCCCATCACCAAGGTAGTAGACCTGGGAGCACCAAACAAAAGACCCTGCTTTACTGTGGAAGAACAAGTGTGACAGACACAATATTGTGAAATATTTGATATTACTATGATGTAACAGTCTTGGGACAAAAAACTATTATACGAATGTCGCACATTATACACATCCTTGCATAGCTTACAAGCAATTACAGTTCTGGCTGAGTAGGCTATATACGGGGAAATAAAATCACAGAGGGGCAACACCAGCTCCCACCACTGGATTACTGCAAGTATCAGCCTTCTGATGCTTTGCCCTCTAGACTAATAGTTTTTAGTGGCTTCACCTAACTCAGGAGACCTGGCAATTCAAAAGGACCTGAGACATATAAAAGGTCCTGACTCAGGGAAAGAAGTCATTCTCACTTGATTCAAGAACTGACACGGGAGCATGACCAACACAGACAGACCCTGTGAGATGGTCTGATGTACTGAGTTGTACCAGTCTCAGTGGAAATGCTGAATGTCTGCATGGTAAAACAGGTTTGTGTTTAAAGTCAGGGGTGTCAAACTCAACCAACCCTGCAGGTTGGATGAGTGGCATTGGGCCAGTCCATGGGCCCGATGGCTCCCTGCCCTTCCTCCTCGTTCAGTACGTCTGATCTAGTGACTGTTCCAGTTGGTTTGGCAGTGTGGATCCCAAAACATCTGGAAGAGGTGCCACATGCAGTGCAGTCTAGCCACAGCAGCAGTGCTGTACATGGTGGTTGCCCCAGCTGGGCTGGGGAAAGGAAAGGGGTCTATGGGCCAAATCCAACTCATGGGCTGGCCCTGCACCATGGGCACACACCATGCCCGTGTGGGGATGATCACACCCAAAGGCAGCACTGGGGGCTGGATGACGAATCTGACTCATGAGCCATATTTTTGACACCCCTGCTTTAAGCTCTTCTTTGTTTTATGGTGTGTTCTCTCTAGAATGCTTTCACTTTGACTAGCTAGTTCTTTGCTTTATCAAAGCTGGCTAGTCACTAAATCACCCCTGTCACTGCTTCTGACAGACAGCTAAGTCTTACTGTGGTGTCTGAAGCGAACTGCAAGGGACTGCAGACAAGGGGCCAGGTCTAGAGCAAAAGGAATGCAGATTTCTTTTCCTGAAAACATCTCTGGTCTCTAGCCATTACTTCAGTGGGGAACCCATAGAGGGGTCAGAGATGCAGGTCATGTGGAAACTGTGCTGGGAGCTGTTTTAATCCATCCCCTTCTCTGTTCCCAGGAGTGCAGAGTTTTCTAGGAGGCCTAGTTCAAATGTCATTGACCCAGTAGTAGGTACTGGGCATCCCTATAATTTGATAAATTAACCTGTACATTTATTCAAGTGCCATCACAAAGTGAGCAGGCACTCCAGTGCAAGGAGCTTCTGTAAGAGGCTAAGAGCCACATGAAGACTTACAGGCGGTAAGGAACTGGTGTTGTGATAGCTAAAAGCAGTGAAGGTGGTTGAGGATATTCTCATGTGGTTTAATTCATTATTGAGCACTTCCCAGAGACTCTGCAGTGAGAATATTAGCCCCTGGGGGAGACTGGGCAGGTTGGTGATGGCAGAGAGTTTCTGATCTGCCCAAATGAGCCCCCACTTTACAATACAGCATGCCATAAGAATCCTACCTCATCACAGCCTATGTGAAACCATTGTAAGCCATCGTGCAGTGCCACCACCTGGTCAATCATTTTTCTAACCAGCATCCTGGATTCCTCTTTGTGTGGATTAAGAGCATTTGGAAATGCCTTCACCTCCCGCAGGTGGGAAAATTCTTTGTGCTTTAGCACAAACTGCAGGAGAAAGGAGAACTCACAGATATAACCACAGAACAACTGGAAGACACAAGTGACGGACACAAGACAGTACTGCCCAACAGACTCTGCTAATGGTTACTGTTTTGGGAATCAGGAAGGATTCTTGCTTTGCTCATGAAATGAGAGGGTGAAAACGAGAGGCCTGGTCAGAGCCAAGCACAGCATGGACAGGACACATCTGTCTTTTCTTCATCCCTCCATCAAGCATCTCATTCCAAGTATCACACAGCAGTGGCTGCTCTCCCAGGTCAGAAACAGCTGCACGTACTTCTCTCTCCACCTCATAACTACCACCAACATACAGCAATAATGTGGATAATTCAGGAGGTTCAATTTGCATCATCTCTGCTCCCAGCACACGGGAGAGGAATGAATGGGGTGGCAGAGTAGGTAATGGGGAGTTTCCCAACAGAAGAGTTCTGTGAGCTCATCTACTAACAGGCGAAGAATTATCTTGCTGTAAAGGCTTGTTGATGGGGAGTAGGAAATTTGGATTCTAGTCCTTATTCTACATTTACATCCAATTTAATGTCACATCCTCTCTTTGCCTCAGCTCTCCCTGTTTGGAAAGTGGGGTTAATGCCTGCTTCACTAGCAGACTGAGAGGATGAATTCATTAGCGGCTGCAAAAAACTCTGGGTTGCCAGATGGAGGATCCTGTTCAAATGGTTTAATAATTCCTAAATTCTGAACAATAGAAGTGTCAGTGGCTCAGGGCAGCTCCATGCTCTGCAGAGTTCCTGGAATTATTCAATATCCCCGACATGAGGACACCTTGGATTGATGCACTTACTTCCATGTGTCCAAACGTCTGCACCAGAGGAATAACTTCTAATTTGTGCAATTTTGCCAGGTTTAATATCTCTTTAATTTCTGAAAGGCTAAAAAGAAAGAAGGGAAGTGCATCAGGCAGGGTACCTGGTTATCTGTACTGGTACTGAGCATCTAGAGTCAACCAGCGCCAGTAGCTTGCCCGCTTCAGAAAGCGAATACCCTAAAACGGTGGTTCCCAAACTCTGACAGATTTCGCACCACCAATTTAAAATGATACAACCTTAAGTACCACCAGCAAATTTTTGTCATATAATTATAATAAATCTGTTAAATGTGTACCACTGACAGGTTGTTTGAGTACCACTGGTGGTACCTGTACTACACATTGGGAACTGCTGCTCTAATACATACACCGCTTGTTTTACCCCAAAGTTTTTCCCAACCTTTAGTGACTGCAGAGACTGGTTTGCTGCACACTAAGAAATCACAGTAAAGGGCTCGTGCAACGCCAGTGCGCAGCCACACGGAGACAAGAAGTTAACTTCTGAAATTGCAACGCAAGGGGAAAAAGTTATGCAGAAGAATGTAAGCACCTAGACTGGCACGTGGCCTGGACACCTATTCCTGTGGAAACCGTCCCAGGAGCCTTACTGCCAGGTGTTTTTATCTCCTTTATTTCTAGTTTAAGAGCTGTCATCTCAAGCAGCTGTGTCATACCATAAGGGGTCATTGGCCTGACACATACAGTTGGCACTCCGCCCTTTACATTTCCCCAAGCCTTTTGCGGAGCAAACAACACGCCACACGGCTGGTAGCTCAGTATCATCATCTCCGTTTTGCACATGGGAACAGCGAGGCAGAGTCTGTCCCAGTGCCGCAGGCAGGGCTAGGACGAGGAGCCCCTGGACCCTCCTGTCCCTGATGGGCTGCGGCGCAGCTGAGCGCTGAGGGGACTCAGCTGACCCCGCCGGCAACCTGCTGCTCTGCTTCTCTGGGTGGGAAGCGGAGCAGAGAAAGGCTGGAAGGGACAGAGGAGGTCACATCTAGTACAACCCCGCTCGAGGCAGGACCAGCCCCAACTAGATCATCCCAGCCAGGGCTCTGCCAAGCCGGGCCTTGAAAACCTCCAAGGACGGAGCTCCCAGCCCCCCTCCGGGCGGGTGACCCGACCCAGGGCTTCGCCACCCTCCTCGTGAGAAAGTTTCCCCTGATATCGCACCGCGCCCACCCCGGTCCCCGAGCGCCCGGCAGCACCCCCCCCCGCCCCCGCGGCGGTACCT